GTGATATAAGGTGGTGTGCTTGTAATGAGTCGTCTCGAATCACTCTGGCAGCGCCCACAATGGTGCCCTCCCACCCACTCCCTCAGCAACCCAAAGTCAGCTTGGCCTGGTGGGGTGGGGCGTTATAGTAAGAAAAGGGTGATATAAGGTGGTGTGCTTGTATTTAGTCGGCTCGAATCACTCTGGTAGCGCCCACAGTGCTGCCCTCTCCTCCCTCACCAGCCCAAAGTCCTGCAATCTTGGCCTGGAGGGTGGGGATTGGTGAAGAGTGGGTGTCGTGATGAGACAAGGCTGAAATAAGGTGGTGCCCTGCCCTGGCAACCACAGTGCTGCCCTTTCCCACCCTCACCAGCCCAAAGTCCTGCAATCTTGGCCTGGAGGGTGAGGTGTTACGGTAAGAAGAGAGTGTATAAGGCCGTGTGCTTGTATCAATAAGACTCAATTCACTCTGGTCGAGTCCACAGCGGTGCCCTCGCCCTCCCTCAACAGCCCAAAGTCGGCAATCTTGGCCTGGTGAGAGGATATTTTAGGGAAGGCAAGACAAGGGCGGTACAAGGTGGAGTGCTTGTAACGAGTTGTCTCGAATCACTCTGGTCCGACAGCGACGCCCTCTCCCTTCCTCAGCAGCCCAAAGTCAGCTTGGCCTGGTGGGGTGGGGCGTTATAGTAAGACAAGGGTGATATAAGGTAGTGTGCTTGTATTGAGTCAGCTCGAATCACTCTGGTAGCGCCCACTGTGCTGCCCTCTCCTCCCTCACCAGCCCAGTGTATGAGACCAGGCAAAACCAAGGAAGAAATGAAAGAACAGTGAAGATCAGGGAAGCAAAAGGAAGATCAAGGTTTTGGGTTTGATATCGCGATGCATGATGCCCAACAGATAGAGGACAGTGGTGCTCACAACAACAGAGGGATGACAAGAGATAGAGAGGGGTTGTCCTGGAAGGGAAGGGGCTCACCTCGAACTTGTTGTCTAGGAGGATGTTGGCGGGCTTGATGTCACGATGCACGATGCAGGGGAGGTGCTCACAGGGGAAGGCACGACACAGAACACAGAGGGACTCACCTCGAACTTGTCATCTAGGAGGATGTTGGCAGGCTTGATGTCACGATGGAGTATGGCCCCCATTGAGGACAGAAAACGTCGCTTATGACAACAGAGAAATGGCAGAGAGAGAGACAGGGGCTGCTCACCTCGAGCTTGTCATCGAGCAGGATGTTGGCGGGCTTGATGTCGCGGTGCACGATGCCAAAGCTGTGCAGATACTCGATCCCGTGGGCCGCCCCGATGAGCATCGCCACGCGCTGCGCCACCGGCAGTGGCTGTGCCGCCCCCTCCCCCACCCACCGCTCCAAGTCCCCGTTGGCCATCAACTCGTACACCACTATCTGCTCCATGCTCAGGTCTCCGTGTGCTGCTGGGTCGCTGTGGGTGGAGTGCGGTGCTGCTGGGTTCATTTCGATGCAGTAGCCAAGCAGGCGGACCAGGTTGGGGTGGTGCTTCGTTGCCATGGCTGCCACCTGGAGTAGTAGAAAGGGGAAAGGGGTAAAGAGGGCAGGGAATGAAAGAGATTGGAAGGGAGTGGCAGCTGTGGCGCCCACTCCCCCACCCACCACTCCAATTCCCCATGAGCCATGAACTCGTAGACTACTATTTGCTCCATGCTCGGATCGTTGTGTGCTGCTGGGTCGCCGTGGGTGGAGTGCAATGCTGGTGGGTTCATTTCGATGCAGTGGTCGAGAAGGCGGAAGCCAGCATGCTCACCTCTCGTTGGAAGTCCTTGGTGAGGACTCGAGCCCGCTTCACGGCCCACAGCACAGAGGGATCGAAGGGACACACGCCCTTATACACATCATGTGCTGAGACTTTCCAAAACTAAGTGCAGTGCGGTGCTGCTGGATGCAGTGCACATACCTCTCGTTGGAAGTCCTTGGTGAGGATTCGAGCTCGCTTCACAGCCCACAGCATAGAGGGGTCGAAGGGACTGACGCCCTTATACACATCCCCATAGCTGTCACTGCTAATGCAGTTACTCTCCACCCTCACTTCCCCCCCAAGCCCGCGTGCTCACCTCTCGTTGGAAGTCCTTGGTGAGAACACAGCTGTAGCATGGGTGTAGCACGAATTTCAGCGGATGACGCCTTCTGCGTTCATCCACCCGTTCTCGTGGCAAGCTACGACCACATCTGCACACAGAAATGGCACTTAAACTTAGCACGGCATGAGAAACGATACGGTAAGACAGCGGCAGTTGCTACTTACTACCAGGAGGAAAGTTGCCCTTCGGCAGCGTCTTCCGCTTGAAAAATACCCACGGCTTGAGCTTCGCCCAGTCCGCCGTGCACGCCAGCATCACGGTCACACGCTCCTTCTGGTAACCTGCACTCCGGATGGGCACCGACCGTATGCCCGTCTGATCCACGGTCGTGGTGGCGGGCATCTCCAGCCAGAGCGGCGTCTGGTCAGCGTTGAGGATCCAGCATGGCTCGATGCCGCGCGCGCGACGCATGTGTCGGACAAAACGCCAGAATTTCTGGCACTGCTCCGCAAGATCTGTGAGACGGGGGAAAGCGGGCGGGATAGACGGCAGTTTAGTAAGTGAACCTGAAACTTAGACATAAAAGCAAGGGGCGTAATCTTACGAGCGGCTGTTTTCTGAGCAACCCGCGTCTTCATGCGGACGCTCAGATTCCACCGCTTCCGAAACCGCTCCGACCATCTCTGACTCCCGCTCCACTTGACGTCCGGGTAGAGGATCTTCATGAACTCCCTCGACCACTCCCGCAGACGGCCGACCGACACGGCGGTTCCTTTGCGGCGCCAGTCCAGGAACCGCTCGTACACCTTCAACTCCATGGAGCGGTACCACGAGGCCCGCCCGCGACCGTGCATGCGCTTCCGCCCGGAGTGTGCTTCTTTGAGAAACCCCGCTGCCACCTTCCAGTTGGCGAGACACTTCCGGTGAATCCCACACTCCCGAGCTAGTGCGCGCACCGACTTCGCCACATCCAGCATTGCGACGTACTTCAACTTCTCCGCAGCGGTGTAGCCTTTGCGCTTGTGATCGCTGATCTTGTGCCTGGGAGAGGGGGGGCGGGCATCACGGTTCTTGGTAGACGGGTGGGGTCGCTTGCGGTTAGCTGGTGGAAAGGAAGGTATCGGCAGTTCCTCGGGGAGCCCGTCACGTGACCAGTACTCGACACCGTCGTCGTCGTCGCCACCATGTACGCCCTCAGGAAACACATCCTCAGCGGTGCCGCCCTGCGCGCCACCTTCCTCAGCCTCGTCGCCGTCAGCACGGCTCGCTTCCTCGTCGCCGTCAGCACGGCTCGCTTCCTCGTCCTCAGCCACGTCGTCGTCAGCTCCGAGTGCAGATTCGTCCCACGTGGTGCAATCATCGGGCCGGCCCCAACGTGGTCCAGGGTAAGGTGCGCCGGGTACCTCAACATCTTGGGCCTTGTTGCTTTCCGGTTCCTCCAGCCACTCGTCGAACGCAGTCGGGAGCAGGAGCGTGAGCACAGGCGGATCCCCTGTGTTCTGAGGACATCCCAGAATCGGAGGAGACGGAGGAACAGGAGGAGCAGGAAGCGCAGGCGGCAAAGGAGGAGCAGGAGGAGCAGGCGGCGCAGGAGGCGATGGAGGCTGTGGTGGCTCTGGTGGTTCAGGTGGGACACGGGAGTACCATCCGTCGGCGTCGACTACGAAGGCGGGCCTACGCGTGGGCTTCTTTTTGAACAAGAAATGAGTGCCAGCGAATTCCGCCATGGCTTCCGCAGCATGGCGGGCGAGACCAAGAATCTGAATGAAAAAAGTGAAAGAGAAGGCGAAGAAATGAGGGTTTGGAGGGGACCCCTTCTGGTGTGCGGCTCGAGTTCCTCTTCAGGCATAGTCAGATCCCCCCCTGCCTAAACCCGCAGAGGAGGGAATCGCGGCACGTATCTGCTGCGCCGGCAGGAATATGCCACCCCCTTCTCGAAAGTTCGGGTGAAATGTGGCACCCTGGCAGCGCATGTAAACCCTATTGGGCCGCACGCGAGGATGCACGTCATCGCTGGCAGGTGCGTTGCTCCAGGACAGGTTCTGTGCGGTGGGAAATCGAGTCGCGGCAGTTTTCGCCGGAATTTCATGCACGATCCCATGCGCAACGTTCACAGTTGTGTTCGCCTTATTGTGGGCTTCACTTTAATACTTCGAAAACCAAAATTGGAATTTGACATTTTATAAGCGCCGGCGCTTATGGCCGTTCCTCAATTACAAGCGCCGCCACCCCTAAAAAATCATTACTTATTATAAGCGCATATGCGCTTATATCCGGGGCCAAACGGTACCATAGCATGTGGTTGTGATACTCCAAGGGTCCGTCTTCGGTTAAAAGCATCGTTTCTGCAAGGTTCGCTTCGGTTGAGTACACTTCATTCACGGCGCATAGGGTCCTTGGGTGGTGAAATCCTGAAGTTCATGTCTTGAGTTTTGGTGTGTGGGATGGGAACCACAGTGGCCTTTTGTACATATCCTTCTGGTTGCAGCTCTGTCCTGGCACGGCAAACCCAATGGCGGTTTTTGTTGTTTCCTTCTGAATATTGTTGTGTTGTGCCTATTTCCTGGCGGCGGTTTTTGTACAGTTCCCCCCGGCGAGGAAAGGCTACCGTAATTCTAGGCTGACTGCCAGATGGGAATGAAACGAGATGGGTGCCGGCCGGAGGAAATAGCGCGTTGGCTGGGGGATTGGTGAGCGGTGGGGGGGCCAATAGTCTGGAATTACATCTTCTGGTAGGCCTGCTCTAGAAGTGTACTACTACGTGGTTATGCATAAACCTGCATCCCACTTCACAAACCCTTTCAGGCCACATACCGTAGAAGCGGGATTACTATGTATATTATTGGTAATAAGATACAGAAGCTGCAAACTCCAATGCAGCTCTAAGCGAAAAGCGTCCAGTCTATATGCTAATGGCATTAGATACTATGGCCTCAATACTTATAAACTTATTGTTTCTCTGTCTCTACTTGTCAACGATAGCCTTCAGTCCGAACGGAGACACATACGAAACACTGTTGCTGTGCCACAAAATACCCGACAGCACTTCATTAAATGCCTCTGTGGGATTGTACCAGTCCCACCACACGTACTTGGTCGGGTCCTTGCAAGCCGTTGCACTGTAGCTCTTGCCGCCCTCTTTCACCGTCTGCCCGCATGCTATCAGCTTTCCGCTGGGTGTTTTACCTTCGCAGCAAACTGACGTCTGGTCAATGAAACCACCTGGTGGTGAGCAAAAAGGAGAGCTTCATAAAAGTGCAGTCTGGGTATGAGAATATATTTATCTGCACGCACATCCACATCCACCCTGGTTACACACCCACACTCAACCGCATCTAACCGCACACTCTAACACTCAATCGAATGCAACCGCACACAACCACACACAACTACACACGCACCTGCAGCGGTGCCCTTGACATGGAACACGGTGCTCTGTTTGAAGAGGATGAGGTTGGTCACGCCTTGGCTACACTCCCACACGCTGTGGGTGAGGGCCACCCACTCCACCCACCCACCCACCCACCAAACCCTTACCTGCAGTGGTGCCCTTGACTCGATACACGGTGCTCTGTTTGAAGAGTATCAAATTGGTGACCCCCTGCTGCCTCAGCTTATCCAGCTTCACCCGCACCCCCGTGTTGTGCTGGTCGGCTAACTTATTCGCTGCCGCATCACACTGCCCCGCGGGGGTCTTCTTGAAGTAACGGACGGCTGGGATGCACCCGAGGGGGGGTACGTCGAACACCACGATCTTGGTGGTCTTGGTCATGGCGTTGAGGTCCTGGTGAGGGGGTAGGGAGGGGTGGAGAGCGGTGAGGAGAGTGCGGCTCCCAGTGGAAGGGAGGGAGCCTTCTTGAAGTAACGCACGGCCGGGATGCACCCGAGGGGGGGAACGTCAAAGACAACAATTTTGGTGCTCTTGGTCATTGCGTTGAGGTACTGGTGAGGAGGTTGAAAGGGGTGGAGAGTGGTGAGGAGAGTGCAGCCCCAGTAGAAGGGAGGGAGCCTTCTTGAAGTAGCGAACAGCACGGATGCACCCGAGAGGGGGCACGTTGAAAACCACGATCTTGGTGGTCTTGGTCATTGCGTTGAGGTCCTGGTGAGGGGAGGATTGGGAGTGGGGTGTGGGGTGGGGAAGTGGGGAATGGTATCTTATTCACCGCCATGTCGCACTGCCCTGCAGGGGTCTTCTTGAAGTAACGAATAGCAGGGATGCACCCGAGAGGGGGGGGGCGGTTGCATGTGGTCCTGGTGAGCTAAGTTGGAATATACGCGTACAGCGTATATTTGCGTATCGTATATACGCTAACGTACATACGCTATCCGCTTAGGGGTTCGTTTTGGAGATACGCTTTTTCGGGCAGAGAAAACACTTTCCGGGCAGGGTGAAATAATAGTACTCCCTATTCTCACTAAGGCTTTCCCTTGCATAATCCTGAATCCGAATGACGAATGCAATGGGAGGTGGAGTAGACATAATAGCTAGAAAGCGAAGTGGGAACCAAATGACGAGTTAGGGTTAGCCAACAGGGCTGGCTGGTAAGTAGTACTTGTTGGGGGGTTACTTTTGACAGGTTGGAGTTTGTAGATAAAGTGGGGTTCAATGCGGTAGAAGAGATGGATTTCAATGCCTAGATGGGATCTGAACTTCAACATTTGCCTGACGACTTCGTCAGATCCCCGTTTGCCTGGACCGCGGATTTGAATTTCGACTACGGCGAAACTCTCACCTAGGAAATCCGCATCTTTTTTGCGATTTTTTTTCGGGCAGCCCTAAAAAAATTCTAAGAGCGTATAGCGTATTCGCTAGCGTATAGCGGATAGCGTGTGTACGCTAGCGTACATACGCTGTACACTTAAGGTGTTAAGCGTATATTCCAACTTAGCTGGTGAGGGGCGAGGGAGGGGGAGAGAGGACCGGGGGGGTGGTTGCATTTGCCTCAAGGGGGAAGAAGGGGGTTTTCTTGAAGTATCCCACAGCAGGGATGCACCGGAGGGGGGGAACATCAAAGACAACAATCTTGGTGGTTCTGGTCATTGCGTTGAGGTCCTGGTGAGGGGAGGATTGGAGCGGGGTGTGGGGAAGTGGGGAATACGGATGCTATCTTGTTGCTCGCCTCGTCACACTCCCCCGCCGGAGTCTTTTTGAAGTAGCGTACAGCCGGGATGCACCCGAGAAGGGGCACGTCAAACACGGCAATCTTGGTGGCCTTGGTCATTGCGTTGAGGTCCTGGTGAGGAATTGGGTGGGGGATGGGGAGGGAGGTGAGGTGAGTGCAAATGCCCCAAGGGGGTGAGGAGGGGGTCTTCTTGAAGTAACGGACGGCTGGGATGCACCCGAGGGGCGGCACGTCAAACACCACAATCTTGGTGGTCTTGGTCATTGCATTGAGGTCCTGGTGGGGGGGTAGGGAGGGGTGGAGAGCGGTGAGGAGAGTGCGGCAGTGGAAGGGAGGCGGTCTTCTTGAAGTGGCGCATGGCTGGGATGCATCCCACGGGCGGCAGTCAAACAACGCGATCTTGGTGGTCTGGATCACCTCCACAGCTTTGACTATCGCCCGTGTTGTTGCAGACACCACCTGCTACATGCTCTGCCCGTCACACTGCTGCTGACCCCCATTGACTCCTGTTGACTCCCCTTGACTCCTGTTGACTCCAGTTAACTCGCGTTGAATACTCTTGACTCACCTGCACTGCTTTGATTATCGCCCCTGTCGTAGCAGACAACACCTGCTCCACGCTCTGCCCGCCCGACTGCCCGAGAAGCGCCAACACGTAGTCGTTGGTTCCCGCGCTAATCATAATCAGCGATTGGTCCAGCATCTGGGAAGAGTGGAACAGGAAAGGGGGGGGGGGCGGGGGGGGAGGGGAAACAAAAGGAACAGGGAGAGAGGGGATGAGCGCCTGGGAACAAGAATCGCCGACACGTAGTTGTTGGTTCTTGATGACTTTTGGGTCGACTCAAAAGTCACTCGAAAGTCACTCAAAAGCGCCTGGGAACAAGAATCGCCAACACGTAGTTGTTGGTTCCCGCACTGATCATAATTAGCGACTGGTCGAGTGTCTGGAAATGCAAAACAGGAAGATTGGGAAGGAAGAGCAAAAGAGATGGGGGAGAGAAGGGATGAAGGCTTACAAACAGGATGGGGGAGAGAAAGGATGATGGCCTAAACAGGGAATGATCAATGCGTAGTTGCTGGTTCTGGCGCTGATTAGAATCAGTGATAGGTCGAGCATGTGGAGAAGAAGACAGAGAGGGGTAAGCAAGGGAAAGGTATTCATCTCACCACCTGCCATTTCGTCTCACCAGCAGTCGTTTCCTCTCACCACTTGTCGTTTCATCTCACCACGTTTCATCTCACCACTTACCTTTTCGTCTCACCACCCGCCGTTTCATCTCACCACCCGCCGTTTCATCTCACCACCCGCCGTTTCATCTCACCACCCGCCGTTTCATCTCACCACTTGCGGGTTGTTCTGGCGCTTGTCCTTGTACTCCTGCATGTACGCTATCTGGGTCTGCAGGCTGCGTGTCTGCAAGGGAAAGGATGGGAAGGGGTGGGAAGGGATGGTAAGGGATGGGAAAGGGTGAGAAGCGGCGATGAAACGTCGGGTTGTTTTTGCGCTTGTCCTTGTACTCCTGCATGTACGCTATCTGAGTTTGGAGACTGCGGGTCTGCAAGCGGTAGGGATGGGAAGGGGTGCAAAGGGTTGAGAAGGGGTGGGAAGGAGCGAGGTGAGGGTGAAGGCTTGTCCGTACTCCTGCATGTACGCTATCTGGGTCTGCAAGCTACGGGTCTGGAGAGGAATGGGGACGGGGGAAAGGGGATGGAAACGGGTGGAATGGGATGGGAAGCGGTGATGAAACGTCGGGTTGTTGTTGCGCTTGTCCTTATACTCCAGCATGTACGGCTATCTGGGTCTGCAGGCTGCGGGTCTGAAAAGGGAGGGATGGGAAGGGGTGCAAAAGGGTGAGAAGGGGTGGTGAAGCTTCGAGTTGCGCTTGTCCTTGTGCTCCTGCATGCACGCTATCTGCGTCTGCAGGCTGCGCGTCTGCAAAGGGAAGGGATGTGGGGAGGGGTTGAGAAGGGATGGGAAGGGATGGGAAGGGGTGGAGAAGGGGTGGGAAGGGGTGATGAAGCCTCGAGGCTCAAGCTGTGGCGAAGGCGTGTCCTTGCACTCTCATGCACGTACGATATCTGCGCCAGGCAGCGCATCTGTCGCTCACTGCTTCTTTCTTCCCTCAATATAGTCACACTACTACACCTTCCACTCATTACAGTCACTATCACACGCACCTTCCCCACATACACTCAGTTGATAAAAGGGAGTTTTTGAGACGTCTCGAAAACTCCCTTTTATCACGTGGCTACAGTCACACTCTCACACGCACCTTCCCCGCGTACACCCAGTTTCGCGCGCCAGCCGCGGCAGTCGCGAAGCTCGTTCCCTGCTTCGACACGAGCGGCTTACGGTGGTACGCGAAGAGGCTCGGCAGACCCAGGCGGAACGCTGGGGTGGTGGGGGACAAGGGGGAAGGGGAGGAGGGGGAGGGGGGTGCGGGAGGAGGGAGGATTGGGGGTGGGGAAGGGGGAAAAAGGCGGAATGGTGGTGATCGCATATGAGTTTCGACACGAGCGGGTTGCGATGGCACGCGAAGAGACTCGGGAGTTCCAGTCGGAACGCTGGAGGTGGGGGAGAGATGCGGGGAAGGAGGGGGAGAGGGAAAAAGAGGGGGAGAGGGGTAAATGGGGAAGAGGGGGAAATGGTGGAAGGGGGAGAAATGGCGGAAAGGGGGGAAATGGCGGAAGGTGGTGAGATGGCGGAAAGGGGGGAAATGACGGAAAGGGGGAAAATTGCGGAAGTGGGGAAACGACGGAAGGGAGTTGCATCGACAGGACCCGCATGCGGTGGCATGTGAGAGGCTCGGGGAAGCCTGCGGGGAAGGTCGCGGCGACGATTGCGGCGACGATTGTGGCGTCAAACGCGTCTCATACCCGTGCGGAGCGCTGGCGACAGTCACATTTGTATAACCACTCTCCGACAATCACTCACTGATAAAGTCAAGGACGAGACGGCCGTTGCTGAAGCGGCCCGATATCTTGCCCCAATCTTGGCCGTAAGGCGGCGCAGTGGCCTTCCAGACGGACTGGCTGAAGAAGCGGCTCATGCCCGTGTCGAACGCCTGATCGCCGAACGCGAACACCTGCCTGATCTTCCCCGCGAATGCCGGCGACGCGGCGAGCGTCGCGAACGTGATTGTAACGAGCGCGAGGACGGCGGGCGCGCAACGGCTGTTGCTCCTTAGCGGACCCATGGCTGTAAATTACGGGTATACTCCCAGCTGTACTTCAAGCTGTGGTCCGCGCTGGATGCCCAGGTGTATTGTCAGGTCTATTCTCAGCTGGATATTTGGCGCTTTTATGTATCCTCGGCTCGCGGCCTGATCAGTTTGGCGATGCACGCGATTCTTTGGCGACTCTCAGTCCCTTGAGCACGAGTCACGCAACGCTCCGAATATCCTTTTGGCTTTCCAAAACTACGCAAGGTGGAGTAGGACAGCGATGGGTTATCGCAAACCGGGTATAGCGAGGCGTCAGGCCGGTATAGCACTGCTCGCGTTTTCTAGTCTAGAGTAATGGCTCGCGTCTTGCAATGTCAAGAACGACTTTCTAAAAGAGCTCTGCGGCTTTTGTTCGAATGGTTTCTTGAATAAGGCTGGCGTGGGGGAGAAAGTGAGGGAGACTGCAGAAGGGCTGTACGGAGAGGAGGAAGGAAATATTTCAGGTAGGTTAGGTGGTTTCAAATGGTTTCAGATGGGTTGGTTTGACAGGGTGGTGGGATTGCAGATGGAAGGCGAGGTTCATTGGCAGATGGCGGGAAAGGGGTCGGTTCCTTTCGAAACCACTGTCATCCAGCTTTTTGTCCGACATGCGAAAACTAGCGGTGGTGGTTTTGCTTCCAGAGTAAAGGTGTAGAAAGTTGGAAATAGAAGGCAGAGTTTTGCGTAGCACGGTTAATTCACGTAAAATTTTACCAGAATGTCGATGATATTTGCACTTTACTGAGTGCTAGTGTTTTACTGTGCTTACCGTTTTGTGATCTGCGTTTCGAAATAGTTTAATAACTGTGGTGTATCCTCCCTGGAAAAATGGGGACGCTGCCCTGCTGCCGTTCCTCAGTTTCCCACATGAGCCACGTTGCGCATTTGTTCATTCACCTGCGAAGCGACCGAAATCCTTCACGTGGATTGGCGGCCGAATGTAGACAAACTTCAGAGCATTGCGTGGAGATGGTGCCGTGCCGACATTCGATAAATGGCTCATTGCGGTGAATCACTTCGGTTAAACAGAAAGACGTTGATAAATCCGGGTTTGTTTTCTGTATAGTTAATGTATTTTTTCGAACGATGATAATAACGAATTACTGTTATCAACGAGTATGATCTGACTCTTACAACTCCTGCAGCCAGTTCCCGCCACTCTGACACCTCAATTTCCCACTGTGCAGTGTTGAACTTTTGTTCGCCGACTCGGTTACAGCAATCCTGCATTCGCATCCGCGTTATAGCACTTCTCAAAAAGGCCGACGCTCGGATCACGCGACTAAAATGGGAGAAAACTCGTCCACGACAGACGCAGAACGACCTGGCCCGTCGCCGCCACAGGCGCCGGGATCGGCGGTGGTAACGGACGTCTTATCCGCAGCGCGCGACCGCTGCTATAAGGCACGTATATTCCATCCAAAAACCATGCAATTTGGCTATTTACCTCGCTCGAACAGTATCACCACTTACATGTGCTCTATGCACATGTGGAATCGGTCGCACCAGCTGTGCGAGATGTCCTCTGATCTTGATTCGATGCGCAATTATCGCTCTCCTCTGATCTTGCAACGATAACCAATTCTTTTTTCCTATTCGAGGCACGGGACAAGATGCTCGGAATCAGCAGCGGCTGCTGCGCGATTTTCTTTTTTAGTTGTAGATGCGCAAACATTCTTCTCCCCCTGTCATGCAACGGTAACCTCTTTGTTGTTCTCCTCTTCCTCCTCATCACAGGATGCGACTTCGTGCGTGAGTGCAGTCAGCAGGAGCAGCAGCTGTGCGAAAAGACTTTGGGGTCGACTCATCAGTGTCTCCTCCTCCTCCTCCCCCCGTCCTGCAGGCACGAAACGCGGATTATGGATGTGAGGCGGCAGCAGCGCCAGCTGTGCAATATAACCTTTTGAGTCGACTCAATCCTCGCCCCCTCCCCTTCCTTCCCCCCTCCCCTGCCCCGACCCGCAGGCACGGGGTTCGTTCTATGCATGTGTGGAGTCAGCAGCGCCAGCTGTGCAATATAATTCCACTCAATCCCCCCCCCCCCCACCCTCCCCTCCTCCCCACCCCCCCTTCCACATTTTTCTCCCCACACCCCCTCCCCTGCCCCATCCCGCAGGCACGGGATGCGTTCTATGCATGCATGGAGTCAGCAGCAGCAGCAGCAGCTGTGCATTGTAATTGGGCTCAATCCCATTCCCGCTCCGCACTCTTTCCTCCCCCCCCACACACTTCCCCTTCCCGCCATCTCCGTTCTGCAGGCACGGGATGCATTCTATGCATGCGTGGAGTCAGCAGCAGCGCCAGCTGCGGAGGCAGAGGCTGCAACTGCTGCTGCCCCACGGGAGCAACCAGCAGGAGAAGCAGCAGCAGCAGCAGCAGCAGCAGCAGCAGCAGCAGCAGCAGCAGCAGCAGCAGCAGGCAGCCTGGCCAGCAGCACACTACCGCCATCATCCACATCACCCTCATCACCCTCATCACCCTCCTCACGGCGATCGCAGTTCAAGGCACTGGAGTATCCTCCTTGCTGTCAGCCTGCACGGTCTCTCTACGAGAAGTCCTGCCGTCCTGCTTGGGTGCGTTGCCTACCCCTTGCACAAAACCCACCCATTGTACCCAGTTGCCCAATCTACCCTATCTCCCAACCCTCCCAATTTATAGTCTACCCACTTTACCTTATCTTCCCTTTTGGTTCTGCGGAATCCACCTGGCAATGTGCCGCTTCACGCGTTTTTCCTTGCTTCCTTCATCCATTTCATCCTTGCATTCATGCTCCCTTGTTTCCTTGCTTCCACGCCTTGCTACTCCCTTGCTTCTGTGTCTCCTTCCATGGTCTGGTCATATGTGGCACATGTAATGTTTTGTTAACTTGTCAAGCTTGAGATAGCCCAATCACATCTGACCAGCTTGCACCTGACCAGCTTGCACCTGACTGGTTTACACCTGTCCGGCTTGCACCTGACCGGCTTGCACCTGACCGGCTTGCACCTGACCAGCTTGCACCACCTGACCGGCTTTCACCTGACCAGCATGCACCTGACCGGCTTTCACCTGACCAGCTTGCACCTGACCCGCTTGCAACCGATCCATCTGCAGTTCCCTGAGCTGTAACAGACCCGCTTGGGGGATTTCACTCATTTGACTATCCATTCTGTTGCCCTCTGCAGGTGTTGCACTTTGATCGCCTGTACATAGCAGAGAGAAACATGAAAAGCGTTGTAGGATCTTCTAGAGTGCATACGCCTGGTGCTCTTTGAATGGTTGTTGTCGAACACGCTAGTACCACTTTTGTGTGGATACTTCTTGTGTGTATACTTCTCGCATATTGATGTACTTCATTCTTACTTCTACGGAACTGTATCAACTAAACAACTTCATCATCGGAGCACATGGTATTGTGTAACCACAAAACAAATTTTACATTGTGCCTGTAGGCTGTTATGGATGTTTTTATACAGAACCATCAAACCCATGTCAAGGGAGCAACAACCCGCTGGCAGCTCATGGGCACCTCACTGAACACGGAGTTTTGCGTAAGTGAGCCAGCGTCGCGAGCAACAATCGAACACCGACATGTAACTTGCTTGCCGTCGCAGTACTTCCAGAAGAACACGAGTTACCCCGGAAAATTCCCAAATTTCCATCGCAAATTTCGTGAGAATGTATCTCGTCTCTCGCAAATCTCTGCGTCTCGACATAACACTTGGCTCGAGCCGCCTTGCCCATCCCAACCCATCCCATACTTCGCCCATGGGTATGCGCAAATTTGCCCACCTTACCACACATGGCGACTCGAATCGCATTACAATTTCTCACACGGTTCTGCCTGCGGCAGCTGGCAAATGCGCGGCGAGATTCATCCAGTTTGCCCCACCTCTCCCTCTCCAACCCCTGGTTCCCTTCCCTTCCCTTCCCTTCTCTGCTGCCAGCCAATGCGCCCTCCCCTTCTCGAATTCCAATCGCGCGTCCCGCCATGGGAGTCGCATTGCGACTGCCCATGAGTCCACAGACCACGATCAGCCCTTCCCAAGTGTGAACGGAGCACAGTTGGATTAGCAATCGTCTCCTTATTACTAAAGCGCTTGCTGATTTTGTATTACAGCATCATCATACTCAGCCTAGTTGAGCACATTAAACTCCATACGCCGCTGCCTAGCAGCATTTCATTCAATCGATCAGTCCTTGCCGCTCTAAAACATCCAACGAAAAACTTCTAATTCGGCGTTTCGACTCTTCGGACACTCCGGTCCGAAAGACTTGAAGCCTGTTGATTAATATCCTTTGAGCTAATTTTTGAAAGAGAACCCTTGTCACAATGGCGAAGATCTCCGCTTCAGTCACTCTCGTGCTCGTCGCGCTTCTGTCCATCCACCTCGCCCGCGCGTCGTCCACAGTCGACGATGCGAAGAAGAGCAGCTCCGATACAAGCAAATCGTCTTCGAGCAAAAGCACGGTGGGACCACCGCAGGTGTTCGCGTTCGGAGACCAGTACCTGGACACGGGAATGACAAACCACCTCGAGTCCGCCGGATGGAGGGCTGACATGGAGCCGTACGGCATCGGCTTCAAACAAGCTCCGGGCCGGTTCTGCAACGGCCGACTCACCATCGACCTCATCAGTGAGTGACGCGCCTTGATTGTCGCCGGTCGTCCGCCTTTCTTCCCACAACGATTCCTGTGCCGCCATCTCTTCGCATTCGTCGCAGCCGAGGACTGCGAGGGGAGTGACTAAAAGTCGCTGCCGTTTCAGAACCACTAGGCACCGACGACCTAGACGGTATTTGAGAAATCGCTCCCTGTCTCTCCCCTTTCCTTCTCGTCCTATTCTACCAGCCGAGGACATGGGCAGCGACTACCTGATGCCGTACATCACCAAGTCGCTCGTCTCAAAGCAGGGCACCAGCTTCGCCACGGCAGGCGCCGGCACCAAGCCCTGGATCAACAGCAACCAGACGTGGAGCTTGCAGCATCAGCTGGAGTTCTTCAGCCAGTACGCT